ATCTTCAATATAATTTTATAATTATTTTAGAAATTACTTAAATAATAGTCCACTATTCTTATTTAAATAAAAATTATTAAATAATTTAGGAAAATTAGTTTACAAAATCACTCTCGCAAACATTATTTCATAGTTGTTTTGGAAATTATTTAAATAATAATCTAATAAGTATTGATAAATCTTCAATATAATAGTCCATTATTATTATTATTTAAATAAAAATTATTAAATAATGTAGGAAAATTAATTTATGAAGTTAACCTACCAAACATTATTTCATAATTCTTTTGGAAATTATTTAAATAATAATACAATATTATTATCTAAATAAATAGTTACTAAAAATTAGAAAAATTAATTAGGAAATTGATCTACCAAAACTTATTTCATAACTATATTGGAAATTATTTCAATAATAATTCAATAAGTATTGATAAATCTTCAATACAATTTAATAATTTTTTAGAAACTACTTAAATAATAGTCCATTATTATTATTTCAATAACAATTATTAAATAATTTAGGAAAATTAATTTTCAAAAATAACGTACCAAACATTATTTCATAATTGTTTTGGAAGTATTTAAATAATAGTCCAATATTATTAAATAATTCTGGAAAATAGTCTATCAAAACTTATTTAATATTTTTGAGATATCCGTTATTTAAAAGTTACGAAAAAAATATTAAATAATTTCAAAAATAATCTAGAAAAAACTAATAATTAATCCATTACTTAATAATTTTTGATAATTAATAATTATTCACGATTTCAACCAATTATTAACAATCGTGATTACATTAATTATTGTAATTTAATAATCACTCATTATTTTTTGAAATTAATTATTTATTGCTAAAATTATTAATAATTACTGTAATTTTGAATAATATTTGGAATTTCCTTACAATTAATAAATGTTCAAAAATTTAAAAAATAATATTTATATTATTTTGAAAATTGCCTATTCATTTGTAATTTATTGGTTGAACATTATTCCATTTTCCCAACAATATCAATTAGATTTCTAAATGTAATTACCAAATTATTTACTACATTTTCAGAAAACCATTGATGAATAAAATATAAATTATTAAAATGTTCAGATTTTTTTTTTTTTTTTTTTTACATTTGGAAAGTTTATAATATTTTGGGAAATTCATTACTTCTTTCTCATTCGTTGGGTAACTTTGGGCTCTTGAGACTAGGGTTTCTTGAAAGGGTTCTAGCAAGAAAAAGCTACTGCGAATGCCATATCCACAATAAGAGTTTTGCTGCCATTCATTTCCAAGAAGGAATTTCAAGAGTTGTTTGTTCTCTCTTTGAGGTGAGAAGATTTATTCTTGCTTCATTGTGTTTTTGGGGCCTGCAATTTATATGGTGAATTTTAACAGAGTCAACAATTATAAAGAAACATTCAATAAGCATTTCTAGGACCAAAATCAATTAACCACAACAATAAACAATTGCAAAATAACGAATGACCTATGAGATCCTTAGAATCTAACCCAAATTAAACCATGCAAGTTATTAGACCTGATCAACCATATTTACATTTAAATTCAAAATACGGAAGTAGAAATAATCAAATTGAATGAAAGAATGCATGAAGAACTAAGGACTAACTCAACATAAGATTAGAAGAAAACCAAGGCAATCTAAAGTTTCTAGAACTACGAACTCCAGAGCCTCTCTTGGAGATCTAAGCATCTGAATTCAATCCTGTATTTCAGATTTTCATTTAGCTTATTGCGTTAAATAATCAATCAGCTGCAGTGGGAAACATGAGAGAGAGAGGAGGAGGAGGAATGGGGGAAGAGAGAGAAATGGTGGTGACTCATCTAGCGGAGTTTCAGTTCAGTTTGGTTCTTTAGAGTTCATCCACTGAAGGAGGGAGTGACGAGAGAAGGAAGGAGGAAGCCATTCCCTGGTGGCAGCGGGATTTGATCCCAGGTCTCTACTTCGACGAGTCAGAGAACCTACCAACTGAGCCACCATCAGTTGGCTTGATCATAATTATCTGACTCGCGTGTTCTTTTGTCTCAGTTGCAAGGTAGGTTCTATTTTGGGTATTTCATGTTTTTTGGTTTAGAAAATTTTCTTCTTTTGAAGTGTTATGCATGAGATGTGGTTAGGGTTGATCATTTCTGCTCAGGCCTGCATTGACCGATCCGGCCCATCTCGAAAATTTCTGGGCTCAGGAAGAAGTTTTAGTTCCAACTTCCAAGCCTGGCTTGGCTCGGAATCGGATCAAGCCTGCAAATAATATGGGCTAAGACCTAAAATCCTTGGCCCAGACATCTGGGTTCCCCTGGAATGCATGTAGATATGTATGTCTTATATAAACAACTTAGAAATTGGTTTCAGACTAGGCATTGACCCATTGCTCCAAGAAATAGCATGGTCAAAACAAAAAAATGGGTCCACAATAGGTTGGATTTTAGAAAGTAACCTTCCCACTGGTTCATCTTCGAGGAATGATTTTTCTATATTTCATAATTGTTCTTATACGATAAATAGCTGAGAACACAAGCCTCCTCTTCTAATATTTACTAGCAAGTGACTATGCAATCCATGGGATTGAACAGATATTTGATTAGGTTTGGATTGATAAATTTGGGTTTTGACATCATTTTGGGCTCAGGCTAGAATCTATGTCTGGGCCTAGTATTGGATTGGCCCTTAACCTGATCCATCATATCTAATTTAATAATTTATACTCTTGTTTTATTAGAACAGTCAAGAGAGATTTAGGAGGAAATAAGGGATTTAATGGGGGTATTTTGTGTGTGTATGAGAGAGAGATGAAAATCTTGCATGAAGGTTAGCAGTATTTACAAAGACAGCTGTTTGTATGGGTCATGCCATGTTTCTAACATAGTTGTAAAGGCAGCTGAGCTGTCTATTTTCAAAATTGATTTTATACAAATCTGTGGAAAAAAGAGTTCCAATTGGATCAATTAGGGAATGTCTCTAGATGGAACCATTTCTTTTCCACGTTGAGGAATCCTATGGTCTGTCTCAACTGTCCATTAAATTGGATACCCTTTTGGATGGTCCATGGATTATGCTCCACCTTGAGCTGGAATTGCCTGCAAGTAACATGAGTTGCCTAAATTTTCAATTTTCTAATTTCCTAATTAATTAGAAATATGCCCTCCCTAGAGGTGGAAGGAACAAAAGTATCTCCAACTGTATTGTCACGTGGACGATTTTTGTTTTTTTAGAAGTTTTTTGGAATATTTTTGCTTTTCCTCTGTTGCAAATTTGCCGTATCAGATCTTTTATATAAATATAAATATAATTTTTTGGATAGATGCTAAATAAATTTTTGGGGATTACCCATTTCTAAAAGAAATAAAAATGCAACAAGATCTTGAATTTCGTGTACTGGGTTGTTTATGGAAAAATGCTTTTGACGTTTTTTTTTTTATATGGAGGAGGTGGATCATCCCTCTGATGTGGCACATTGAAAGGTGAAATGCCACAACATTTTTTCTTAGAATTTGAATTCTATTAAGCTAAGATGGATTTGAATATCTGTTTAACCATAACCGGATTGTATTGGAATTGATAAATGTGATCCATTAATCAGTCAATTTTTGAATTTGGGGTTTAGATAAACTTTTCTTTTCTATCTATAACTTACGATTTCTTGTTTCGTATTTAATTTTATGGATTTATGCCAAGTGTTGTAGAGATATATTGATTCTCAAATTAAACCACATTCATATAAGATATCCAGATATATAAATGAATCGAACTGGGCAGGGATATAAAATCAAATTTAGATATTCTGGATTCTCACAAGATTGGATTCATACACGTCCCTATCCAAATTCATTCCAATGTCCCTATCCAAATTCATTCCAATCCATTTGTGGCCCTACTAATACCCTTATGACCTTATAATTAATGTTAGAAGAACCAGATTAACTAGGCACAGTTAGATTGGAAAACCTGGGTTTGGGTCAGCTTGGGAGACCAGGTTTTTGGAATTTATATCCAGATATGCACAAAACATAGGTTTTTACACTGCCTAATATTTGGGGAAAGAGTGTAATGACCCAAGAATATTTCACATTGGATCAAATCTGCTGCAATCATCTCAGCATTTTCTTGCAACCTCTGGATATACAATCCCCCTGATCTGCCTGTTGGTTCACTGGTGTGCCCCCATGTTTTATTGGGTGATTGTAAGGAATGCTGCAACCATTGTTGCAGCAGATGCCAGCTCCTAAAAGATTCACAATGTTCCTCGACTCAGTTTGGAAAGAGTACAGATACAAACAAAATAATACAAAATACAAGGTTTTGTACTCTAAGGCTCAGTTCGGAAAGAGTACAAATACAAATGTGTAGAGTGCAACACCTTGTATTTTGTATTAATTTATATGTATTTGCACTGTACATATTTGTATTTGTACTCTTCCCCAACTGAGCACATACAAATGTGTATACGCTTTGTTCTTTCTCAAAACTAATATGAACAGTTGAAATTTTTATTATTTGGCATTTGGTGAGTGGGGAAGTTGAAAGATCAGAACTAAAATTTAACCGAGTTATGAGAGAACACAAATCCTGGTTAAGCACCAAGTTATTGGAAAATTATCTTGTCTAGATAGTTTTTCTTAAGATTGCATGTCCTGAACCCATAACGCCATATCCTTCATGCTACAGGTTGAAACTACTTCTGGAGCTTCTGCTCTTTTCATAATGAGGTTCCAGACTGTAATTTATATTTCCTGAGCAACGGCTATAGGAAGAAGGAGAACTGAGCAACGACTATAGAAAGTATGTTGCATGCATCATTAGAAGAAATGAAGGCATCGTGGATAGATGAACTCGTGCTTATAGGTGAATGCCCTACATCCTGCATCACAACTATTGTTATCACAAGTTCAAGTCTAAATCATAGAACTGAAAAAAAAAAGTATCAAGGTTGCTAGAGTCTTCACTTTGAATAGGCATATAGATCAGGAAGCAAAGCTATCTAAGTTGATGAAATAACATAGATTTAAAAGAGATGGCCATCCATGGCTCTTATACCAGAAATAGTTAAAAGGGCTGACTTTTCATGGCATCAATACTATTTTTTTTTTTATGAAAGCCATAAGGCTGATTCCACTCACCATTTCTGATTACATGTCCTAAAATATGATCAAGAGGGAATAAATAAAAAGGAAATGGTAACAACTCCTTATATGTACATATGAAAATGGAATGCGAATTGGGGCATCTCTGTGCTAGTTTGTTGAGCTTTATCAAGCATCCAACCTACAGATGTTTAGTTTCTTCCAATTGAGACAAAAGGCAATGCCTGCTCAATTGGTCTGCTGTATCCATTCCAGACATTTTTGATCCAACAATTTGGGCTGAAAGCAGAGCTCCCCCTGGTTTTTGAAACTGTAGATCATTCTTTAGAACAGATGCCAGAGTTCAGACTCCACAGTATGAAATAAGTATGAAACTTTCCTGTATTCTGTTTCATATTAACTTGATGTATGTACCGTCCTGTACAAAGGTGCTTATCAACACTCGTTTATGACCAACTTATTTCCATCCAATCTGAGAAGAGAGTGCAATTTAGACAACTGATTCCGAACTTGCACCCACCTCATCTTGCAACAGGTAATGCCAATTCAGACTAATGAATTTTTGGAGCATCTCTATTATACTTTAATCCAAATCAAAGAGAACCTTGAAAAGAAACCTGAAGATGTGCAGATTTTGGTGGCTGGATTGATGCAGTAGCAATGCCTTGAAGCAACTTGATGACCTCAACAGTATCATCAAGATAGTACTTTGCCATACTTGGCTTCTGACCAACAGTGCAGGCAAACACTTCAGCTCTAGATAGGATGGATGGGTTGGAGATGCATCTTTCAATGCTCTCAAACATGTCTTCATCCGACCGGTCATCCCCTATGCACAATACAAAATCCGGTGGCTTCCCCTTGCTTGACATGGTTGAGATAAGGTTTTCAACAACCACACCCTTGCTTATACCCTGCAATTCACCAACAAGATATACTCCATTATAATCACAAAATCATAAATCTGGATCTCAGATGATAAAGAGAAGTTAGTTCTCCTTACCTGTGGTTTTACTTCGACTATGTGTTGCCCTCTTTTAACAACCACAGGCTCATTGGCAAGCACATTCTCCAAGTGGTCAAGAAGCTCCTTTGCCTGGCATGACCCAAAATCTGGGTCAGCTTCTTGGTGGTGCCAGACCAGGGCACTCTCCTTATGCTCAATGGAAGATCCATCTGTTGTCTCTGTGTAAAGTTCCATTACAGGTTCAGCAATCTTTTTCCAGTCAAAATCTATTGCCAATAAACAGGACTCCCATGGAGAATCTCTGTTCCACCTGCAGAAGGGCAAGCAAAACATGGTCAGCAGACACAGGTAGAAACTACTAATCATATGTATAAGTTAAGACGCTCAAATAGTACCTTGTAAAGTAGCCATGTTCTGCTGAAATACCCAGCTTCTCGCACTGAGAAAACCATTTGCTGAGAGAATCCTTCCCTCTGCCACTCACAATAAAAACAACATTCTTCGGGTCACTGCTTAAACTATTCAACACCGAAATAACTTCCTTGCCAGGAGTTTTGTCGACAGATGTCTGCGGCATCATGGTACCATCGTAGTCAAGAAGGATCAGTCGGCTATTTGTCTTCTTATATGCAGAGACAATGTGCTCTACTGAAAGCTTCCTGAAGTTAGGACCCAGAGCAACAACTCTGAAACCCAAGCCAAAGCCAATTCCCCAACACCTTTTAATGAAATGCTCTCGGCAAGCTCTCTCTAGGTCTTGATCAAAGCTCCGAGCCCAGTAGGCAACGTCGTGAGAACTTATGTACTTGTAGTGCTTCTCATGGCGCAATTGTTTCTCTGCCTCTGGCATGGTGATGGCCAAGTTCATGGCATCAGACACAGCATCAATGTTCCATGGGTTAATCCGGATGGCCCCACTAAGGGATGGAGAGCACCCAATGAACTCAGACACAACGATGATGCTCTTTCTTGGGGAGCTGGACCCATCTGTTCCCAGCACTTTGTCTAGCAGAGGGCTTCCCTGCCTGCAAACTGTGTACTTATAGGGGACCAAGTTCATTCCATCCCTTACTGGATTAACAACACAGCACTCAGAAATGGCGTAGAATGCAGCCTTCTCTAGAGTTGAAACAAAGCGGTTGATGAAAACAATCGGTTGATACCCGTCCTTACCATACTTTTCATTGATTGATTTGGCTATAAAATGGGTTTCATCCTGAACTTCTTGGATATCCTTACTCTGGCTCCTAGCAGGGTTTGCAATTTGAACCAGAACCACCTTCCCTTTCAATTCAGGGTGCTGTTCCAGGAGCTGCCCCATTGCCAAGAACTTCAGGCTGATGCCCTTGAATATATCCATATCATCAACGCCGATTATCACAGTCTTCCCCTCAAACTCTTCTTTCAGTTCCTGGACCTTCCTGGCAGTTTCCGGGAGGGACAGAACAGTATCAAGCTGGCCCATGTGAATTCCAACTGGAAGGATCTTAATGCTCACAGTCCGGCCATAATACTCAAGCCCAATGTACCCCCGCTTGGATTCATAATCTAGACCCAACATCCGACTGCAGCAAGACAGGAAGTGCCGAGCATAATCAAACGTGTGGAAACCAATAAGATCAGAATTCAACAGCGCCCGGAGAATCTCATCTCGCACCGGCAGCGTTCTGTAAATCTCCGACGAGGGGAAAGGACTGTGTAGGAAAAACCCAAGCTTCACTCGATTAAATCTTTTTCTTAGAAACGTGGGCAGTACCATAAGATGGTAATCATGAACCCAGACGTAATCCTCATCTGGATTTATCACTTCCATCACCTTATCTGCAAAAATTTTGTTAGCAGATACATACGCCTGCCACAGAGCCCGATCAAAACGGGCGCCATGGTTAGGCGAGATTGGCAACATGTAATGGAACAGCGGCCAGAGATGTTGCTTACAGAACCCATGATAGAACTTATTCTGGATGTCAGATGGCAAAAACGTAGGCACACAATGGAACTTCTCGAGAAGAAACTGCGCCACCTCGTCTTGCTCCGACGCATCAATTTCAGCCTTCAAGCAACCAACGTAAACAAATTCGACGTCCGGCGAAAACCCGTCTTTGAGTTGCAATACAAGCGCGTCATTATCCCATTCAAAACACCATTTGTTACTCTCTGGATCGCGCTGAACCCGCAAAGGCAGCTGATTCGCAACAATAATTCTTCTCTCCTGTGCAACAGATGACACAACATCCGACGCCGCGCAATCACTCCGGTCATCATCGTCGTCACCGTCGAAGTCCGAGATGATCCCAGGCACGGTCATGACCCTCGGCAACCGGGTCCGACCAATTTTCGGAAAATCTCCTCCGGACGAAACGAGACTCAATAAATTCGCACAAGATTTGGACAACATCTTTCACACACCAAAATCTAAACTTTAACACGAAAAGATCCTATTTTGCAGCTAAACTAATCTGAGTATCAAAGATTTATGTATGGGTATCGAACAATTTCTGTTTTGTTATCGATGAGTATTACATATAATCAGCATAAATCTCATCTCTACAAGGGAAAACTAAGAACGAAAGAGAAACAAAAAAAAGAAAGATCTGTCTGTTCTGACGGCAATACAGATTAGAAACAAGCCTGAATGACCGACCTGGTAATAAGGACGGAAGAAGCAAGCGGTGGTGCTGGTGGTGGTGTGAACGGTCAAGACGGACGGACGACTTCATCAAATGGCGTCCTCGCTTTTCTTCTACTAATTGTAACCGACTTTTCTCTCTCTTTTCTCTGTTTCAAACGTGTAAGGGTAGCAGAGCTGGCGTTCTGCTCTGGATGATTATTTAGTATTTATCACTCACAACTCAAAACTGTGAAATCAATAGTCAGATCAGAAAGATTACTTTGACCGGCTATAGCCAGTCAAGTTAGTAAAATGACGAAAATACTCTCAGSAACGATTTGGGCAAGAAATCGCAGGGATGGAGGAAAGTATCTCGCGTTTACTAGAGAAAGAATGGAAATAAATCACGTGGTCCGAATTTTTTGGGTTGCTTAATGAGGAAATATCCCGATTTCGAGAGATTACGTATTCATGAAAAATATCGGGGTTTTCTGGGAAAGTTGCCAAAATTAGAAAAAGACTCGTGGGTGTTTTGGTAATTTTATTGAATGCAACGTGGCTGGTTTTACAGCTGTGAATAGTGCCCCTCGTCACGCGCCTGGATAAGCTCCAGCTGGCACGTGTCGAGATAAGATATTCCCTTTTCCATCTCTCCTCCGTGAGACTTCTTCTTTTTTCTCTCTCTTTTTCGGAATTGAGCTGGGTTTTCCAAAAACTTGCCAAGTGGCAAGAATGTGGCATATCTGGGTCGTAGATCGAGTCGGCTCGGGTATTTGACCGCTGACGTTACCTGCATCGGCTGGGTGGATAGTTCATCAAACCCGTTCTTATCTTGTCCGGTTCAGCAGATGACACGTCACCACTTCTCCCGTGACCGAGATAGATCTCAAGGGTGCCACGTGTCGCTCGGTTAGGTGGAATTGACCGCTGTGCTAAGTTAGTCCCTGCTTACAAAGTTTTTTGAAAAAGACATTGCGTACCGTTACATATAGTTATCCAAAAAATCGCTCCTTCTGGTTGGGACCCACTTGATGTGCCACGACGGGAACGGGTCCCACTTTATTTTCAGAGGGGGTCAGGGGGCTGGATTTAATTTTCATAAACGAGGACGTCGCCGGGTGGACCGACCATCTATCTTTTAGTGGGCCCCACTATAGGCTAATTCTGATTGATGAGATCATCAACGCATGTTTCGTGTAAAAGTACAATCGTGAGAAGCACACAATCACAATATATTACAAACTTCAACGAGTCTTGGTCATTGATTTATACGGATAGAGATGTTTGACTAATAACCCTTGTCGTAGGGTACACGTGGCTAGAATCTAGTGGATAGTGGCACAACGTTCGAATGGATAACGCAGCTGACTGCTGAGGCAAGTTGCTCGGCTCCCCTCTCCGGGACAACTATTAAAACCTAAAAACATGTATGATCTATCAACTGGGTCCACTAGGGAAAATAAAAGAAAACTGACATGGATAATCGCAGTCGTTGATTTGATAAGCCGGTCCCACCAGAAGGTCAAACCGGCTAGGTCCGGGTCTTGGGTTAGGCAAAGAGTAATTAAAGTTAAACACGGCGTTGGTGGACTTTTCTGCCAGTTTTCAAAATATAAGGAGGGGGGGGGGTTTCAAATTTTTGCTTTTCTTCAAAAGAAAGAGTATTAAATTGAAATTAATATGGAAAAAGTTGTCCTTGGTGGACATTTTCAAACTTCAGAAGGGCTTTCTTTTCTTTTCTTGGTCCGAACAAAGACATTCTACTGTTCTAGGATAAAGGTTGACGGGGATGAGCCCAATCTCAATCTTCTTTCACTTTCTTCCAAAAGTACATATATTTAATATATTTAAGCAAAAGGATATATTTTTTTTGGATATTTTCATTAATAGAGGGGCTTATTCGGAAGAATATTTCTCCCCACTTTTCGAAGCCGCCAGGGAAGAAGGTGGTTCAAAATTAAAAACTTTGAGCTAACTTGTGGATTATGGTATGGAACAGAAGGTTGTTTGTTGCATCCACTAGCCGTTAGGTAGATAAGGCAGCATTTATAAAAATGGGGGAAAAGAAAGGTTCCCCTGACTTTGAGAGTCCATACTGATCATACGGCCACTACCTATGCCTAACCTTTGTCATGACTGGTTGTTCTTTGCTCTTGCTTGAGTAACCATAACCATTGATTTTAAATCCAACAGCTGGATTCCTCTCCTTGGATGATATGCTATCTTGGTTTGGTTTGGGTAAGATTAGGGACCACTCTTTGATAACAGTTTAAGTGTTGGACGATTTAGTGAATTTAGTTCGTATTTGGGAAGGGTTTTTGGCTTTTGACGTTATGAGGTGAGAAACCCGGAATGCTGTGCTTCTTTGAAACAATCTATAAGGTATGTGTGGAAAAAAAATCCAGAGAGCCCAAATTGGCTGTTAATCCGTTGATCATTTGAAGGATTATCTGCTTCAACCTCTGTGAATAGTTTATCTGGAGTGCTTCAAGTAACTGAACCAGTTTCAACTCAACCCTCCCAAGGGGCCCTCTTTAATTGCTTTGTTTTTTAGTTAATAATTTATTCAGGAGGGTGCGAGGTTTGTAATGGTTCAAGCTGAAGTTGGACTGATTATTGTATGCTCAAATATTTTAATATTCAATGATTTTATCCACTAAAAGATAAAACAATAAATAATTCAATTCAGCCATTTCAGCTGTTGTCAAACAGTCCCTTGGTTGGAGAGGCTCGTTTTGAATTATATTCATGGTTCAATATTGGTTCCTTATTAATTAAAACCATATTAGATGACAAATATATGTCTATAACTGGTTTTTACCTAGACTTTTAAGCTATGGTCGTCTAAGATACAATGGAGATATGGGTTGCAGATATCAACATAATATATCAAATTAAAAGCGAGAAAATATCGACTAAGTTTTATATAGCTATATTGGCACTGATGTGAGGCCGTGCTTACAAGTTTAACCAACCATGTTTTCATTATTAGTACTCAATGCAAAGATCAGATAGAATTCTTTTGTAATGTGGAGTAGGGTGATGGATGACATCAAAATCAGTTTCCTTAATTGTAAATAAAAAAGGTTSGAACATCAAATCTGTAAAACAGGACCAGTTTGGCAGTTTCAGAATGTCAAAGAGCTAAAAGAGACTAGTAATAATCTCTGGCTACCAAAGAAAAGAGACTACTGACCATCCAATTGTATCGCCGAAGATTAATTGACTAATCGATGAAGATGACTTCTGATTATACCACAATTGTCAATGCCTTCTGTTTATTGAAGAAGATTGGATTTCTCAATTGTGCCCATAATATTTCATTGGGTTGGTAAATCTTCAAACAATCCAATGTGCTGATTTATTGAGCCTTGGTAACCAATTCCTTTTCTAATTGAGCACTTGTTTATGACTTGGGGCATTAAGCCAGTGATTATGGAAGCTGTAATCAATCTTCAGTCCTCTGTAATAAATTACAGTACACTCAATCAACCAATTTGGATGATGTTGATAAGGCTCAGTTTGGAAGGAGTACAAAKACAARTATGTACAGTGTAAAAATTTTTTATTTTTGTATTATCTTAAATGAATTTGCTTTGAATATATTTGTATTTGTACTCTTCCCAAATTCAGTTTGGAGTTTGAGAATAATACAAACACAAATATGTATATTATAAATACAAAATATAAGGCTTCTATTTGCACTCTTTTCAAACTGGGCCTAATAAGAGTTCAAAGCCAACTCTTGAGAGAGATCGTGTCCTATTTTTTCCATAACTATTTTTCAAAGTTAATAAAAATTAGGAATAAYGTATAGGTGACATTAGGTTCAACATTAGATTATGGTAAGATAAAGTTACCTATCATCCATTTACTTATCACAGCTGTTTTATAGATGGAAAACCAAATTACTTTGGTTTTTACTTTTTATTGTCAGTTGATATCAGTAGAAAAGTTATTTATTTGTAACGAACCAAATGCCACCTTAGTTTTATACTTTATCTATTGATTTTGCTCCCCTTGTAACTACACCCTTTGAATAAGTTTGTTTTAGATTACTTTTAGGGCTCATTTTTCTCTTTTTTCTTTTTTTTTTGGAATTTGAGAGGGGGGAAGTTGGTCAATGAGATTTTGATTCCTATTGACTGAAATACTCTCACGTTTTTATTTTTTCAGATTTATATGGAGTTTATGAAAAATTCATTTTCCTTAGGTATGATATCCATCTCCCAAGTGAGTAACTTTCTTGCACAAAAGAAAAATTGCTAAAACTTGAAAGAAACTAATGAAGGGGAATTTGGCCCGACCTCGCAATCACCCGACACGTGGCAAAAACAAGCAACTCGGGACAGTAGAGCGCCCGAAGCGAACATCGAAAGCAAGTCCAAGCTCACTACTGAGCCCGAACTCCAGACCGCTCTACTAGGAGCCCGAGCTCCCTA